AGCTATTTTCGGGGCGTATGATTAAACTCGTTTGGCCTAGAAAAATATTGCGTCATCCGTGATTGCATCAGTTTTTTTTTTATCAAGCCTAGATGCTATTGTCTCGACAGTCGATTAGTTATCCTACGACCATTTTATGCGATTGACGCTACTCCAAGGAAGCGTACGAAAATTGTAAAGCTACACGAAACAAGCCTAACAGAGAGATCGTGGACTCTACGACGAAAGAGAAACTCGTGAGCGCCATTATAGACATGTAGTACCGTCAGCCCTAAATCAATGAGAACTGCTTCAAATTAGTGGATTCTATGCCAAATCTCATCAAAGAGTTTCTGGGGAAATAAAGGTGGTCACACGAAGTACTAACATGTGCAATAGGTCATGTTTCATTGAAAATATTTGAAAAAAGTAAATAATAACGGAATTATTCGTTTTGTTTGAATTAATTTGCACAAGGATATATATATATATATATATATATATATATATATATATATATATATATATATACCTACCTACACAGGGGAAAAGGAAAATAGGCAAAAAAACCTATGTGGGATAAATTACTGATCATCATACTGTAGGGTTGGGTTCAGTGATGGGGTGTATATATCATACTTATTATAAAACCCAAGTTGTGTGTGTGTGTGTGTGTGTGTGTGTGTATGTGTGTGTGTGTTCGTTTATATATTGGATCGGATTTCCTACATTTTTCAACCGATTTCAACAAAACTTCACAGGACTTCATAAAATTACCTTGCGGTGGATCTGACAGCGCCCAAAATTGGAAAAACACAATTGTTTTTGCACGGAATCAATTTGAAAACACGATTAAGAGGCATCGATCTCGCGAGAATGAAAGGGGACAACTCATATCGAGGTATACTTATAAAACCCAGGTTGTTTGTTTGTTTGTGTGTGTGTGTGTGTGTGTGTTCGTTTATATATGGGATCGGATTTCCTACATTTTTCAATCGATTTCAACAAAACTTCACTTTTTTTTTGGCAGGTAGTGTTTCTTATTGTCTTGTGTGTGTTATATAAAGCACGCCTATACATTTTTTCGTCTCTGTTCAAGTGTCTACTTGAACAGGAAGATCACGTGAGCGCGAGACTCGAGTTACGACTAGAGCTATATTTTCATATTATTTAACGCTGTTAAACATTTTTCACTCGGTCTAAGCAATGTAGGCTTCGAGCATTTTAATAACTGATTAGATAATTTTTCCTTTATCTGAATAAGAGCTTTAGGTTTTGGCAAGTTGTCCATTGTTTCCATCAAAGTTAAAGATCAAATGCCGATCAAATACGCAATCGGATAAGATAACGAAATAAAGGACCAATAGAAGAAAGACACTAACGCTTTTAATAAAAATTACCCAAAATTCATAATCCTGACCTCCAACTCTCTTTCTACTAAATTCGTTAACAAATTAGTCATTCCTAATGGAAGGATCGTTACTACCACCTCCAAGACAATCGGATATATAATTAAGGAGAAAAATTAACTGATCACCAATTCAAATGTTCGAATTTATCAAATAAATTGTTTACAATGCAAAAATGTTTATGTGGGAGAGACTTCGCGTGATGTAAAAGCCCGCATCTATGAACACAAGAGAGACTTGCGTTTGGACAAACGATTTAACCCTTTCGTTTTGTATGAAAACGATGCTGCACATAACTATGAAATCACCTATTCTATCCTAATTAAAACAGAACTTAATTCTTTAAAGTAGAAAATACATTGAATAATAACATTATTGCCAACTATAAATTGCCATCTCTCATTGAAATCATTCTTAAAGAATCTGACATATCTGTTTAACGAAAGGAAAACATGCTTAAAAAGGTTAACCATAAATTAGAAACATGCAACATTCCGTTGCCCGGTCTGACCGCACAAAGGCGACAGCATCAGAACTCCCTTTAGACAGACACACATACACACTCAATTTCTGACGAAGCTTCAATAAGAGTGAAGCATGTTAGACTGCTGTACTTTTCCTATTTGTTCTTTATTTTATCATATATATATATATATATATATATATATATATATATATATATATATATATATATTAATAGATTTTATTTTTTAAGCCGACATTAATTTTAGTAGATGCCTGTATTTCAGTAGCTGTTTAGTGTGTTTTAAACACTGTTTGTTTTTCTGCCAATCGACCTGCGGTGTCGAGAAAACCTATATAAAAAAAATATCTCCTCCACCAGAATTCGGACCTGCGTCGACCTTTGCTGGCAGAGCCCATTCTCTGGTCCGGCGTTTTTTGGCATTAAATGGAAGTTTTATTTGCCTTAAGGTTCCAGTAGTTATGTATTTGCCCGTACCTATGTTACAACTACATGGTTAGTGAATTGTAATGCAACCAATAAGATCAATAGGCTTTGTCGTTTGAGCGTGATCGTAGCGCGGACTCACGCGTAAACACACAAACAGAAACTTTTTATTTTATAATTTTTTTCTGTTGATGTATTTGATTAAATCAATTAGTTCTAAATCTAATGGGAAAAGTTACCTTTACTTACTGACAACTATTTTTTTTTAGTCTTTTACTTTGTATTCGATAATTGGCAGTAGACATCAAATCATTTGAATAGGTTAAAAAAGTAAATATTTTTTTTAAAAGGCAATTTTAGGACATATCGATCTTTTACACTTTTCGTTCGACCCAAGGACCTCATTTAAATCATATCTGCATTTACTGATAGCTTTTTAGTTTGATGTTACGACAAGTCTATGAATTATTGTTGAATTATTATTGAATTAATTGCTCAAAAATTGCTGGAAAAATAATTAAAAAAAAAGTATGAGTAAGATTTGAGCGAAAATATAGAACATGCTTTTTTAAGCTCAGAATAAGCACTTAAATTAAAAACCGTGTTATAAAAAAAGTGGTTTAAAATTAACTATATAAGAAATGCAAGTACGATACAGAAATCATAATGTGCGTAAAGATATCAAATTAAGCAAAGCATTCTTCTTGTATGTACCACGTTCGTTCAGGACATGGTCTGTCAGGGCTCGTCACAACATCCTATATATTGTGATCCTTCTCCTATTTCGCTTGCCCCCAATATGGCCCTGTGAGTGTTACGTTTTCCAAGCCCTCTTTCCGCATTATGTGTCCTAGGAATTTTAGCTGTATCTCACTGATTCCAAGTATTTCCAAGTTGTTTCTGTTGCCATTTTCTTTAAGACTTCCACGTTTTTTACTCGCTTCGTTCATGGAATTTTCTGCATTCGTCTTTAGAACTAACTTTCTGTTGCGTACAGTTTTCCCTTCATCTGTGGAGAATTTACCGAGCATTCATTGCCATATAAGCCTGTTCCTCAGCACTTTGCTTAGATTTTAGAAGACATCTTCCGCTCATCCAATGCATATTCGGATTTCTGTGTCATATTTCCCATCCTCTGTTAAAACATTTCCCAGATATTTTGTACTTGCTTGATGTTGATATCTCCAATTTGTAACTTGAATTTTGGACCTTTTCTCTTGCCAATGATCATATGCTCTGTCTTTTAAAACTGCAGTCATTGCGCAGGCTTCCTTGCAGCCTTTTACAGAGTTTTGCAATAATGACTCTTCTGTCAGTCATAATGGCGCTGCCAAACTATTCTTATAATTTTTCGAAAGAGCCGTCCTCATAGTGAGAGTCGTGCAAATAAAATCAGTTTTTTATTTGTCTCTAGGACTGACATTAACATTACTAAAACATCTCATTAATACAGTAGAACCCCTGACAATCAGACTAAGAAGATCTTCCGGATATAAGGAATTGGTCGTGATAGGAGGGGTTATATTTAGATTAAAATAAAATAAATAAAATCAAGTTTAATATTTATTTCCAATATTTATAGTAAATAAAATAAGCTAATGGTGAGTGAAATATAACGGAATTGATTTTAAGGAAAAAGAAATAAATTATGTAATGTTAATGAAAATTCATTAAATTAAGTATGTCCCGTATGTAAAACAAATAATATAACAAGGATTTTTTTAATCGTTGTTGCATGATGATTCTTTCTCTTCTAATGGCATTCTCAACTTTTTTTCCATTTCTAATTTGCTTTTGTTTTTGAAATTTTGTTTTTTAAACGGACACTTTTAAACTCTGCGTGTGTTATTGCAATCATCATTGCTGAATGTTGGCTTTCTTTCCATAAAACTGACAACGTTTTCAATATCTTTTTTTCAATTTCAGTCCAGTTTTCATAACAATCATGTTTTTATTTCCCTGTTCATTGTGACAGTGTGAAAGCTGAAGAATAGTTTCTTTGGAAGATCTTATATCATACAATGTTGATTTTCCTATGTTGAACTCAGCCATTTGTTTCAATGAACTTTCACCAGCGTCTAAACTGTTTAAAATTTCCACTTTTTGCGATAACAAAGTTGTTCTTTTCCTCTTATTCTCTTCATCTTTTGCACCAATACAAGTCATTAGGGCTTTCAATACGTCCTGCGATTTTCAACGTTTTTTAGTCCCCTTTCCTTATTATGTGACCTATAAATTTCAATTACCTCGTTATAGTTCTACGTATAAGTGCCTTTTTTGTCATGTGAGAAATTCTGCATCGAAAGAAACGGAAAATGGCACTGCCGTATTCGGTTGATAATTTCTCCAGTTATCCTGAATTAAGTGAGGATTCTCATACATAACCAGAGCCAGTTGGCTCGTATTGATCCCGACGATTATCGATCGATTGATTGATTTGACTTTTACGGCCAATCAGTCTTTCGCAGGTTATTTAAAGCCAGAATTTTCGTTTTCAGTTTGTAATCAATTTTGGAGATAATAATAATTTCCGGGTACAAATCAATCTAGTTAACCCATAGATAGGTGAAGACGATGTGGATTCAGACATTTCCCAAGGTTATGTGCGCCTAAGTTAATATAACAAACTCGACTGGAATTGGAACTCGACTCTGCCATTTTCCAATTCCGAGCCCTTGTCTATTACACCGCCCATGCATCCAAGCTCCTGGTATTCTCAAGAGGTCGCTCATCTAGTTACTGACCAGACTCAACGTTGCTTAACTTCGGTGATCGTACGATAAAAGGTGTTTCAACGTGATATCGCCGGAAGCATTCCGATGATTAGAAGACACAATATTATTGGGATATTTTCAATTATTTAATTGTATTAACCTAAGCCAGACACTAAAGTTTAAATTTTTGTATCACAGCACATCAACTTTAGGAATAGGAATAATACCAGGTCTCGCCAACTGCTGACTGCTTGTTTTTCAGTCGTTTTTATATCCATGTGACAGCTAACAAAGCCCTGGATCTAGACAAGTTTCAGAGAGGCTCGTAGCTAGACATTCCAAGATACTCTGCTGCTAACGGGAAAAACCCGGATGTAGTGCGTTTTGACAAACATGTCTGCTGCAACACCTAGCCTCTTTTGTGGATGTACTGACGCGTGCTCACCACAGAGGAACCAGCATTCACATGACACATTATAGGTAAGACGAGCAGAAGAAAACATTTATATTGTATGACTGCGTGGAGAAAGGACAAATAGGGCTAGTCAATAATGCAATTGTGGAGAGATATGACCTCCTACGTCTTTGAAGGGACACGGTGCAGAAAAGATGGAAAATGCAAATGTGGCGTGATTTTGGTTCTAAAACATAATGATACTAATCCGTGCAGCTAATATAGGATACAACCATCTTGACTGACAAGCACTTGGATAGCAAACGCCCTGAGTTCACACTTGGGAATTGAACTTGATAGTCGTTACGCTACCATCTTGATGGTTGAGTAGGTGAAAACCCTGGAGTACCAAAACTGGCGGGGCATGATAGGTATACCAAGTGACAACTCAAGTTGTCCTATTTGTTGTTCACAAGAATCTTTCTGTCTCACACGAAGCCCTGAGGATATCTGACATCATTAAGAGTGCACAGGTGGAAGCTCTCCTTGAAACATCTTATGTTCCGAGGGGAGGGTTGTGTCTCTGTACTGCGCGTAGGCGTTAAGATAGGGTGATCATCGCTGTGAGAGTGGAAGAGGTTGATGGCCCGACTACATGAATTTAAGCGAGCTACTAGATTAGTAACTTGGTCCAACCGTTTTACTGCTGATCAAACTCGATGCAAACGCCACTTCTACTCTACCAGTTTATTTTCGTAGCCCTTCACAAAACCCTTCGGATTTCTTGCTTCCCTAATGCTAGCACCGGCAAGTCAATCATAGCATTGCAAAGGACCTCAAGATAACTGTGTGCAACATAAGAATTGTTGTGAATACCGACATTCGGTAAAAGTCAGAGAAAAATCATTAATTAAACTAAAATAAAAATAAAATAAAAGTAAAAAAAATAATAAAAATAAAATTAGAATTAAAATTAAAATATAATACAAGAATAATCGTACAACTAATAAATTACAAATATTAATCAATTTAATGCCAAAAACTGGGATAAATTAACAATGAAAACAATGAAGTCTGTCTATATTTCTGAGATGAGGTATTAGGTACAGTATTTACATTAGTCGGACTATTGTCCTCATTTTTGTCGCCAGATAACTGATAACTGACATCCATCAAACATGGCACGTGGAATTAGAACAGTCGAAATAAAGGGTTCAGTTCGAAATTCCAACCACCTGAAGAAGGCCGGAGCGTACAACGGCCGAAACTTTGTGACAAATATGGCGACAAAGATGAGGACAATAGTCCGACTAATGTAAATACTGAAAACGATGAAATGTTAATAAAGATAATAAACATAAGAATATTAGACCAGGAAGATGTTCAGGTTCTACTGGACCATGTGAACTCAATAAGACCTTCGATACCGTTCACAATGGAGAAAGAGAGTAACAATACACTCCCATTCTAATATCAGAGCATGGGTTCAAGACATCCGTATACCGTAAACCGACTTTCACCGGACAGTACCTTAATTTCAACTCCCACCATCCATAGAGCGTAAAGAAAGGGAATGTCCGCTGCTTACAACACCGATCAAAAGTCATAAGTGGCGACCCAGAGAAATTAGATAAAGAATTGGTGAGTATAAGTAGTAACAACTACCCTGGGTAGCAGCTCCAAAAAATTGCTGTAGTACAAGAGAAGGACAAGTTCATGTCAGAAGAGACGAGAGAAAATCGTTTGTTCCGTACGAAGTGATTGCTAAACCAGATTAAAAAAATAATCAATTGGGGGAATGATTTCGAATTTTACCAAAAAGAGTAACCGAAAGGAAAGAGACGTGACTGGAGTTCCAAGTGTCATGCATACCAAGTTTCTAACAACTGTGACGGTTCTGCGAGTTGCTAGAAACTAATTTCCTCAATGTTTCTGTCCTTCAAGAGGTGATGGAGAGAGTTGTGAAGCTCTGGGTAGACAACAAACACACAGGAAATCCGTACATATTCCAACCAGACTCGGCGCCGTCTTGGACGCATGGCAATCTTCTCTCAAACATATAGACTCCTTGTTCATAAGAATCCACTGGGATACTGTGTATGGCGCGTAGGGAAGAGAGATGAGGAGAGAAAGAGGAAGAGAGTCGAGGAGAGATCTTGTTATTCTAAACACATGGCCTCCTAGCTCCTCAGACACGGAAGAGGAGAGGCAAGAGAGAGGAGAGAGAGATTGAAGAGAGACTGAGAGTGAGTGTGTGTGTGTGTGTGAGAGAGAGAGAGAGAGAGAGAGAGAGAGGACAACCAACGCCCCCATAACCCTATATAGCGATTAGTCCATCCTAACAAGATTATCTGATTCGTATATGTCAACGCTTTCAACCCTTAACTGAAGTTGCTATTTATTGTAATGGTGGATTAACTGAATAAGTGTGATAAAAGGATTTTTGATTTGCTCGAATTCTTTTTCAGATAAAGCTTTTCTCTGAAATTCTGGGGTGAGGACTTATCATTATTTATACTATTTGCATGGGGACACAACGTTTCGGTCGTTTCCCCTCCGGCTTTCATCAGGTGTATGTCGACCGGGTAAGGTAAAAAGAATTCCTAACCCGTTCCTTTATGCAATGTAGATTGTCCTCCGTGCATATTTCATCGAGTTTGTTCCAAGTAACCCAAAAATGATCGTCACGTTTACCTACTTTTGTTTCAAAATATTTAATCTTTTACATTGTTTTATAATTTTTAATTTCTTCATACCAACCTATTCTGAATTCTTCTCTTCACTCCTTTTCCCTTCTCCATATCTTCACTCTCTTCTTCCCCATCTCCTCTCTTACTATTCTCCTTCTCTCTTTCTCCCCTCTCCTCTCCCCCTACGTTCCATACGTAGCGTACCAGTGGATTCAGGTGCACTAGGAGTTTGTATGTTTGGGAGAACATCATGGAGATTGTCATGAACCCATGCTGGAGTTCCCTTAGCCATATCAGACGGAGCCGAGTTTCTCTGGAAGATGCACGATCTTCCGTTGCGTACACTGTCTATCCATGGGTTTCACAACACTCCACATCTCCTGAAGGACAGAAGCGTTATCGTTATGTGATATATATATATATATATATATATATATATATATATATATATATATATATATATTATCGAATTATCAAAATGTAAAGAAAAACGCTAAAAATAATGGAAGCATTACTAACAATGAAAAAGCCAAAATCAAGAATATCAATCTATGAACACGGCCACAATGTGCTGACCGTGTTTGAAAAAAATATAAGATTCGTATAACTCCAGATACATATAAGAAAACCAAAAGATTCAGTTAAAAGTAAAAAATAAAATTATCTTTGATAATGACTAAAAGTATAGTTCAAAGCGCTCGCACATACAAAACATAGGCACAATTCCTGCATAATTTAGTCCAGAAAATAAAAAAATAAAAATAAAAAACTTAATCACATTACCTTGTCAATCGTTTTTACTGAAACCTGTATAAATGAGGGATTTTTGCCCAAATACACTATATATATATATATATATATATATATATATATATATATATATATGTCTGTTACCCTCTCTTTAACTCTAACATTCGTCCCACACTCTCATACTTACACTCTCTCTAAATTCTATTTTTATTTCCGGAATTGTTTTTTTCTGTTTTCTTTTTGAATTTTTAGGTCTGATGAATGTGTGTATTTACGATTCCAATGTATTTACGATTCCAATGGAATAAATTATGACCATGGTATATTAGTGTTTAAGCCTTTTTATTATATCCTTACTCTGTCCTGGACATTGGGTTCTACCGGGATTCTATCCTCTTGGAATTTTTTCTTCAAAATATATACATGTATGTGTATTCACCGATGTATATATATTTATATATTTTGCATATGTATGTGTATATTTACCACTAATATTATCTATCTATCTATCTATCTATCTATCTATATATATATATATATATATATATATATATATATATATATATATATATATATATATATATATATATATATATATATATATATATATATAATATATATATATATATATATATATATATGAAAAAAGTGTATATATATATATATATATATATATATATATATATATATATATATATATATATATATAATTTTTATATATTACATGCGCGGTACTTATTAGAGATAGAGTTAACATATTTGGTTGGATTGATGTGAGTTTCACGAGAAATTTTCGATACATTCCGATCTTTGAATTTCAACATACAAATGCGTATGTATAGAGACAACAGCCACCCATATACATACATATGTCAAATCCCATACTGTCTACATATGTTTATATCTGTATGAGCCCCGGCGGACGAGCGAGTGTGTATGTGTGTCTTCGTACCTCAACGGGTGTACGGACATACATCTATGTTTGCGTTAGCATGAGTGACATCACGACGACGATTCCACCCCCCACTTCCATAATAATACCAATACACGCAATCTACATAAACCCAAAACTTTAAAAAAATTAATCAGTTTGTCTGACGATCGCAAAAGCGGGAAACACAGGGTCACAAACTCACATCAATCCAACCATATATATATATATATATATATATATAAATTTTAGAACTTTTCTGTCTGTATATAAATGTCTTGATTATTCTGGCTTACACAAAGAAGTTTTACTACGTATATACACGTCTATC